GCCATTCTCAGAGACGGATGGAGGGGCAGTCCTCCTGCCTGGTGCTGCAGGGTCTGGTTACTGACCCCACCACCCTGCCTGCCCTCTAGCAAGTCCCAAGATGGAAGAGTGCCCAGTGAGACAGAAGCTCCAATGTGGAAGGAGCTAGCAGCCTTCCATAGTTCATGCACAGCCTGGAGCACAGCAAAATCGTGCAGCAACAGTAGCCCACCCTTCAGTCCCCCATCCTGGCTCAGCCCCTTAGCTCCTCGTCACATTCCTGTCCTGACCCTGTTCTTGCTCAACTGGAATGAGCTTTGATTCTGTCTCCACCTGTATGCAAGGGACAGACAAAGTGGGTGTCTGCTGAAACGTCCTGTGTGTAGAAAGCTCCTCTTAAGCATTGGCTCAATGAATAAAAAAACAAATGACCCACCTAAATATGGACGTCTACTGTGGAACTCTCTGGTCTACTAGGGAAGTCCCTAGAGATAAGTGGGAAGGCCAACACCCTGCAGTACCTACACTTGACACTAGATGGCACACAAAGAACTTGCTGCAGACAAGAAGGGCGTGAGATTGAGATAGAGGTTAGGCTTGTCCATCCACCAGATCTAGCTAAATAGCTATCAGCAGGGCACACCGTAATCACCAGGTTTTCCAGAGACAGACCCTGTGGAATACTAGTCCATGCATGTGCAGATCTGAAGAGAAAAGGCAAGCCCTTCTAGACAGCACAGCCTTTCAGGGCCTTTTTTTCTCTATGCAGGCCTTCACTGGGTTAGATGTCAACCACCCACAATATGGAGCAATCAATCTGCTTCACTTAGCATTGGCCAACTCAGTGAGAATCTCATGCAAGGACACACTGGGAGGTGACACAACTAAATTTCACACCCACACTGGAGCTGAGAAGCCATGGTCTAGCATGGAGACCCACATCTTCTGCCTTCCCCTCTTCCAGTCGCATGAGGTCAGGAATAAAAACTTAGTGACAGCACATCCCTGATCCTCCCAGCAGACCGGTGGCCAATCTCTTTTCTCCAGTGCAGACCCCAATAGTCTAAAGTGAACCTTTCTTATATTACTGGGACAAACGGTCTCACTGTATAGCCCAGGCTGGCCTCAAACTTGGGGCAATTCTCCTGCCTTGGTCTCAGCCAGGGATTACAGCTGCATACCACCATACCCACTAAAGCAGAATGACCAAAGGGTGCTATCCTGGCCTGTGAAGATTTTGTACACTGAAGACTTTCAATGTTTTAAAAACAGCTCAAGGTCTGTGAATGATGGTAAGTTTAACTGGAGGTGAGGAAGTGGGTGTCAAAAAGACTGCATTCCAGCCGGGTGGACTTGGGACTGCAGCCAGCAAAACATGTGGCAGACAGGAAATAGCTGAGCAAATCTGCTGGTCGGAGTCACTTTTACATGGCCGTTTAAACCGGGACTTCAACTTTTCCCACTGGCCAACCCTTTCACCCAAGAAATTTTTACATGATCCCAGGTACTGAGTCTATGAAGTAGGAAGACAAATTATCGGTAATAAATCACAAGGGTGTTTATTTTGAAATACCAAGGTGCATATGGAAGATATGGATGTGCTTTTTACATAACAATTTTGGGTGAGCATTCGATCCTGTAAGCTGCAGAGTACCTTCAACGTTATTTAGAGCTGGCTGATATTTCAATTTCATAGTTGATTCAGAGAACACTGCTGTACACGAACAGTTTAACATGGAAGCAGTGTTTAGGGTCATTTTAGAAAGGGCTGGAAACTGCTGTAACACCAAGCTAAAACTTTCCAACAGTTTCTTATGAAATTCAAGTCAGAAACGCAAACAAAAACTCTTCAAAAACAAAACTGGAGGCAAATGCCTGTGATCTCAGTGCTTTGGAGTTATAGCATCTTCAACTCACTCAAGCTCAAGGCTGACTCAGAAACAAAACAAAAATATCAAGGTTAAGATCTATCACTCTGACAGGATCTAATCCCTATACTGATACTACTGAGGAGTGAAGGTAGGAACTACTGAGTACTGAGTTTCTGTTTAGTACTGTAGGTGTTGTAGGACACAGGTAGCTGGATCTCCAAGGTCTGGGCCAGCTAAGGCTATATAGTGAGACCCTGTCCTAAATAAGTAGCTAGAGACTTGTAAATCCAGTACTTCACAGATTTTAAGACAAGATCAAGAGTTCAAGGTCAGCCTAAAATATATGAAAGTATAAAACAGAAATTCCCAGCTCCCTCCCCACAATTTTAATTCAAATCATGAACCTTCCAGTCTCCACGGGGTCCAACCAAAGCTGGCTTAGAACTGTGTTGCCAAAACTGGCCTCAAACTCACAATCCTGCCTCAGCCTTTTTCTTATCAGTGATAAGCAGCCAGAGGGAACTGTTCTACTATGGCTATGCACTAATTAGTTATAGATATTTCCTTAAGTCAAAAGCTGGGTCCTAAAATGGGCACACTGATACATTCCAGAACTCCCAGCTCTTAGGACACTGAAGAGAGCGATGAGCCTTGCCAGTCAATGCACTCCTTTGAACCCAGGGCTTTGGGGGGCAGAAGCAGGAGGCGAGTTTCAGGCCAGCCTAGTTTATAGAACAATTCCAGGACAGCCAGAAACACAGAAAAACCGTCTCGAAAGAAATAAAAAAGATGAGTCACATAGAGGAGACTGAAAGGGGGTGAGAAGGGTTGCTGTCAGTGAAGCCCTGATTAACAAGGAAACAGAGGGCCTTTAGGAATGAGATGTGCACAGCTTCGCTAGCTAGCACAGGCTGTGCCGGTCCTAGTCAGCCTTGCTGTGTCACTGTGGTAAATACAGAAACCTAGGACTACTAGAGGCCAAATCCTTACCAAAGCTTCTTACACCTCAGTGAAGCCCAGCGGGGCCATCTCCACAATGTTTATGTCACACCTGCACACAGGGGTCAGGGCCACCTGCCTCAACAAAGGCCAGCTGAAGCATTCTCTAGGGTCAACTTTTCACCTTCCAACACCCCTGCTACTGAGCAAAACTGACTCTGGCAGATTTTGTATGAAGCCTCACCCTGTGGGTAGGCTCCTGAAGTAGTAAGCACTTTAGTTAATTCTACAAACCCTTCAACTGTAGCTTTTTAAATTGTCTCATACACAGGGGCAGGGGTACGACTATCTTGTACTGGTTAAGATTAAAATTCCCTTATTCCCTACCTCGCTTCTGTTTAGTTACACAGAAACTGCTTAGTGTAATCGTGGATAAACCCATCTGGTTGGATTATAACAAGTTTAAAATCTTGAACATTTCAGAAGTGCTACTGAGTCACTGTCAAGTTTCTTGCTTCCCCCCTCGTGGTGCCCACGAAGCAGTCACAGCCCAGACACCAACCCCACCATAGACACTGCTAGAGTCTCTGACCTACTGGGATTAACGAAGGGCTTGACTTGAAATCTGAAATACTTTCCATGCTGGAAGTCAGGTAGTAAACAGGCTTTTGTTTACTAAAGGGGTGAGGTGGGAGGGAGGCCTTGTGTTAACCTAAAACGTGGTGTCCTTTCTAGGGAGTCACCACAATCAACAGCATTCAGTTCTTTCTGCAAATACACACCAAGCCAAATGTTCTCTAAACCCTTTAATACAGCTGAGGCACAGGCAATCAACACTTAATTTTTTCACGTTAGAAGAAAGGATTTATGCTGTCCCATCATGCACCAGACCACACCACTTCTTCCTCAACAGTTCATCAGCACTGATTCACAGGTTGATTCAAGGTCACAGACGCAGGTGCACAGTGGTATATATACCTAACCTGCCAGAGGTAAAGGAACACAACACCTGGACTTTGCCTCGGTGTGTGCATTACACTACTGGGGTGTTTGCACCTTTCCAGGCAGCTGGCTAGAATGTTTTCAGTTAAGACAGTGGTACCCAAAAGTACACTTTTGCCCAAGGAAGCATGCCACCGTGCCATAACACGTAATGCCTCTCCAGACTTCCCAGGGCAACACTTGTAACTGCTTTTATCTTACTTGAGTGTTAATCTTCATTCTGGCATCGCTGACCGACACCAATGTTTTCTGCTTCCATCTATTTAACTTCAGGTGAGATGGTGTGCAGTGCTTGTTTTGTGAAGGAAAGTAGTTGTCGTTAACAAACAGCTCGTGTTCACAAGTGACAGTGCCAAAGCCTCACATCTGTCCTGTGTGTAAACAGACTTGGCTTAATCAGCCTCAAAGTAAAACAGCATCTCTGCCTCTCCAACTCCAGGGGCCAGGCATCCAGTGCACCCTGCAGAGTGACTCTGCAAGCTTTTGGTCTTCTCACACCTGGACTGACACAGGACTCTGCATGCTATCAATCTCTGACAAGTCACCATTATGAGGCTTGGAGCTAGAGATCCTGCCAGGAAATTCCACCAGCATGTTCGTACTATCATTCCCCAAAATGTGCATACCTACCAAGAAAGCACTGTTTAAGGACTCAGGATCAAAAGGCCTAGAAGCACTAAATGGAAGAGGTCTCAAATGTGTGCCTCCTGGTCTGGCATTCAACCAGAACACACCAGAGAAAGGCTCTTGAGTGGAGTTGTCCAAAGCTGTTATCCAAACACCAACCAGAGGCAGAAGCTAACTAAAGCCTTCTTCCAGATTCTTCCCCTTTACACTACCCAGAAAAGAGGCGAGCCAAACCAACAAGTCTATAGCACAGATGCAAGCAAGCTGTCCCACAAGAATGCTGCACAGTGAAGACCACAAGGTCCTCACACTTGATTCAGACAGGCTCAGTGGCCAGTGCTGCCACCATCTGAGAAGGTGTCCAACTTGCTGCAGCCAAGTCTCCAGTCAGGATGGCACTCCACTGTCACTGCACAAGGTAAATTAATCAATCCACAGTAGTAGCAGTAGTATTCTGTTAAAGTCAAAAAGGGAGTCAATGCTTGCACAAGTAGACTACCAAGCTTCTTTAAGGACGAGTTTCTGGTTAAATGACACAACAGTAACAGAATCACTTCACATCAGTAGCAACTGACAAAGAAATTACTTCACTTAGAGGTTTTAATTGAGAAATACTAAGTCAGGCAAACATGCAAATTCAGAGTATAAACTAGTACAAGGCTTGGTTATTCTGAAAAAAAAAATTATCAGCTGGTGATGTACCTGAAGACACTCAACAGAACCAACTGAACTAATGCTGAGATGGGACACCCCAGAGATGGGCAGACTGACCCTTAGTCTGTCTATATTATAGCCAAGTGAGCAGACAGCAGGCAAAGCTCACCCTCCAGGTCAGGGCGCACACAGGTTTAATCCCTGTGCTGTTTGCATCGAGGTGCGTGAAAGATTAGGAGTAAGTGCTCAGACCACATGAAGCCACTGATGGAGACAGAAGCTTTTAAGGAAACACAGGGAGGGAATGGAATTGTTAACAGACAACATATATGTTCAAAAGTAAACAAGAAACGGTCTCTGTAAGGTTTTAATGCTCAGTTTTCACAAACACAAGTTTCTACCCAATTTTACAACATACAACAAAATGTTCTAGTCTTTAAAATGTGCATTATTTAACTATTCCTCATATTCTTTCCCAATCTTTTAAAATCACCAGGAGTTTCTACCTAAGAAATACTCTACTGTATTTACATTTGAATTACATGTCTTAAGAACAAACGAAATCCATGATATTTTGGTAAACTCAGTGTATTTATAAAATGAAAAGCTCTATCAAAATACTTTTCACTGGAAAAATAAATAGAACAGACAATGGATCTACCAAAGTTCACATTCACTTTGGCAGATGTCAGTGTGGGACAGTTCATGACAAGCACAATTTGCCCTTATTCCCCCCAGAGCTGATCAGTGTCCAAGCTAACTGTTAAATCATTTTACTGAGATTTCACCACGTTGGTATCTGGCTCATTCCACATCATCTTCAGCCAAGCTCTGAGCACTTACAATTCTCTGAAAGAAAAAGAAAATTAATTTTAAGAAGTGTCTTGATTTCAACTTAAATTGCTCTTCATATTCAAAGAACCAATTCTTGCTAAATCTCTCCCATTTTGACACAGATCCCATACTTCAGATTACTGCCTCGGATGACAAAGATCAGCTGGGCATGGCGACACACGCCTTGAACCTCAGCCCTGGAGATGCAGAGCACAGGGAAGGGGACTGGATTGGTGGTGGTAGAGAGGGAGGGAGTATGATCATACAAGCTTTAGTTCCAAAATTCAAGTGAGTAAGCACGTGACACAACGGCATTCATCTATTAGAGGCCCTACTGTCTGTGCTTCATAATTCCCCTTTCCAGCCTACAACCATCATCACAGAGAGGGACTACTACAGGTCAAAATTAACATCCACCAAAATCTATGCATAACTTACACACTTTGTTCTCAACAAAGCTTCCCTGTACTGGAAGCTCAGGTACCAGTGATGGTTTGTATATGCTTGGCCCGGGGAGAGGCACTATTAGAAGTGTGGCCTTGTTGGAGTAGGTGTGTCACTGTGGGTGTGAGCTTTAAGACCCTCATCCTAGCTACCTGAGCCAGCCTATGTCTGTCTGGATCCTTCCATGTTCCCACTTTGATGATAACATCTGAACCTGTAAGCCAGGCCAAATTATATATCAAAGCGTTGCCTTGTTCATGTGTCTCCTCACAGCAGTCAAACCCTAAGACAGTACCACTCTCCAACTGGATCAGTTCCTGAACTGAGCAAGCAATGACTAACGCCCAGCTCTTCTTCATTGGCCATCATACTTACAAGTTCTTGGTTTTCTAAGTCTTCCTCAAATCTTTTTTTGGGGGGAAGAGGAGGATGGGGATTTAATTTTTCCCTAGGCCTCTTCCAATGAAGGGATGTATGAAGGAGCTAAGAATGTGACTCAGTGGTAAAGCCTTTGCTTAACACAAGTAAGACAGAATACCATGAAAGGAAAAAAAAAAAAAAAAAAAAACAAGTTACTAAAAAGTTTTATGAGAACTTCCTTGCTGCCATCACTTCTCTAATTCTTAACCATATCAAACTGAAAACCGGCACATGCAATAGCCGTTCTGACTCCTCAGAAAGAATTCACTGTAGTGAATGTTTAGCCAATTTGTACCTAATGTTTTGAGACAAGATCTCACTAAGCAGTCCTGGGCTTAGTGACCCACCTTCCTTGGCCCCTGGAATGATGGGATTACAAGCATGGGCTATCACACTCAACCATATTAATCATTTAAAACATGCACCTTGCACTTCTAAGTAGATATTTGGTGATACAGTCAAACAGCACAGAACTCAAAGTCTACAGCAGGAAAAAGTGGCAGACTGACAGAGACCAGGATGGTCTAGGGTATGCAGTCTTGACTTCTGTATCCCCTGCTAGGTCACTTAAGTAGCTGAGCAGGCCGAATTAGGGACTCAAACATAAAGGTATTAGAGTAGACATAAGCACTTACACTTTTTTTTTTTTTTTTTGGTTTTCGAGACAGGGTTTCTCTGTGTAGCCCTGGCTGTCCTGGAACTCACTCTGTAGACCAGGCTGGCCTCAAACTCAGAAATCCGCCTGCCTCTGCCTCCCAAGTGTTGGGATTAAAGGCGTGCGCCACCACCGCCCAGCACACTTACACTTCTGATTCACATCTGACACAAGCATGGACCTTAGGCTAGTTCACTGGACAATGTATCCAATATCACATGCTCGGCAAACTTGCCCCTAAGCATGGAGTTCTTAGATAAATCTCCATTACTTTGAAGCACCTCACCTCCTTACCTGACTAATGGTTGGAAGCTTGGTCAAAAGCATCTGGAACACTGGTGGTGGAAGAGTTTGCTGTAACACTTGCAGCAACTGCTGAGGCTGTCCACACACAGCAATGGCATTTGTCAGGTGGTCCACACCTTTCTCGTAGTCACCTGCCAGACACAACTGCATGTTATCTGAAGCCATCAAGATTTTGTCACCAACTAACTGGTCCTAGCCCAAATCACTGGCATGTAAAAAATTGGTACAGAATTTCCTTGCACCCACGGAAATGAGCACATTTCACCAACTGACAGCTGTGGAAAGTCTGAGGCACCAGCATTTACAGATTTCAAAGCCTGTCAAGCATGATCAGAAATAGCCAAATCTCTGCTGTCACTGTGGGAATTATGTTTATCCCATCATACAAATAAGACACCACCTGACTGTCATCTGGGTTTGGGCAGCCCTTACTGTGACGTACATGCCCAGTGCCTTTCCTAGAGTACTGAGAGAATATGATACCCACAGAAGAGCCTACTGAGGGGCAGGCACTGATGCATTAGACATCAGGTCTCTGCTGACCCTCCACTGGCAATAATCATCTTTTCTGCGGAACTGACAGTGCTGATGAACCACCAGCTGGTTCCGAGAGCACACAATGCCTAGCCCTCTCTCTGTAGGCCATCTTGGAAAAGCTTCCTGCCTGGGATCTACTTCCTGCACTTAACACTTTCTGATTAGTTTTCCTACTCAATTGTTCTTAATCTAGGAAAGGCATGGAAACTAAGAAAGTTTGCTAGTTACTTGAATACAAGAACTACCTCTGACTCATGGTGAAACCAACTGAACAAACTCCACAAGAAGCTTTCTCTTAGGAAAGAAAATTAAGTAAGCTGGGGCCTGTGAGGTGGTCCAGCAAGTAAAGGTGCTTGCTAAGCAAGCTTGGATACCTTAGTTCAATCCCCAGACTCACATAAAGGTGGAAATGTTTGATTTTCTCTAACCTCCACTCACTTATGAAATTTGCACACATACCCACATACTTTTTTTTTTTTTTTAAATTTTAAAGTTTATGTGCTTCGGTGTTTTGCCTGCATTCATGTCTGTGTGAGGATGTTGAATGTCCTATAACTAAAGTTAATCTATTGAGGAAAAAAGGAGAATAAAATAACACAATGCCAATTCTTTTTGTTTCTCGAAACATGGTTTCTCTGTAGCCCTGGCTGTCCTGAAACTTGCTCTGTGGACCAGGCTGACCTTGAACTCAAGAGATCCACCTGCCTTTGCCTTAAGTACTGGGTTTATTCAAAGGGATGTGCTACCACTTCCCAGAGACAATTCCAATTTTATTAATGATAGCAACAACTTCAAAACTACTTTTAAGATAAAAGCTAATCAACAATGGGACCATCCTATTGTATGGAACAAAATGATGCCCAATTTTAGAACAAAAAATAAAACAAAATCACTTTTCAATACAAGTAATTGACTAAACAAGGCCCAAAGTAATTATCTAAATTCTGGACCATGTAAACTGATCAGATCTGAAAAGAGCTAGCAATATCTGGTGTGGTGGCTAATATTGGTTGCCAATTTGGTTACATTTGAAAGTAATGAAAAGCCAAGTAGCTGAGTGCATCTGTGGTGTATTTTTCTTGGTTGGACTTTTTTAGGCCAGAGAGCCCCCAAAATCCAGGCCATACCTTCTGGAGTTCACCAACAAGAAAAAGAAGAGAGTTGTGCTTTTCTATCTGCTTGCCCTCACGCTCACCTCTCTGATGGTGCTAGAACATACTTCTTTAGGATTGCAAAGCTGACTGAAAACTGGAAGTGCTGAAGCTCTCTAGGACCTCCTGGGACTCCAGCACCAGTTTGTGAACTGAAAAGCTACCAGATTCTTGATCTTTCTGTTAAGTGATAGCCACTATTGGGACTAGTCAGACCACAGCCCATAAGCCACTGTAATAAATCCTTCACACAGACACACAAACGTGTTCATTCTACAAATTCTGTTCCTTAGAGAACCCTAATTGTGACTCTAATTAGGTAAATTAACTTTGTTTTAGGGTTATTAACCACTCCTTCCTACAACCCTCAAAAAACCTGGACTAGGTAAGTGTTGACAGACTTGGGCCATACTCACTGTTACTACTTATTCTGCACTATGGTGACACCCGGAATAACTTGAGAGTCATCTCCTCTGCAAAAATGAAGTTCTCTCCTGATTTCACTCAACTGTTACCTTATCTTCCATACCCTATGACAGAACAAGTAACCCCAAATCTCACTAAATCACAGACCCTGACAACAGCAACCCAGTTTGTCTTTCTGGAGCCAGCCTCAGTCTAAAGTATCCCAAAACCCACCATTAAGTGTTCATCCTGAAATGACTATTACCTTGTGCTAGTAACTCCTCACCAAGCTGTATCTCTTCAAGGAAGAATTTCTGAACAGCCTCGGCATCTTTTAAGTCAGGTAACTGGAAATGGAACATACAGAAATGAAGCTGAGGACATATCAACATACAGAAAACCACTAAAAATGAGTTCATTCTAAGAACAAAACTCTGAATCAAGAAAACCTAAAGAAAGTTAAAGCGTACAAGTATCCAGTCTGTTCAGCTATACAAGCCTTTACATTACCTATACATCTCTTATCATCCACACAGTGCTACTTAGTTGCCATTATAGACTATTAAACTATCGTCCATTCATTCTTCAACACTATTTCACACATATTTTCATGTGCACCCAGAGGATTTCTCTGTAATTGCTACATACGTGTGTACATATATATTCACAGATACACAACTGTTGTTGGTGGGGTTTGGGGTTGAACCTAGGCCCCTGGCCTACTAGAAAAGCACTCTACCACTAAGCTAGATTATTAGTCCTCTTTTTGACAAGACCTTATCGGCTGGCCTGAGTACAGTTCAGAGGCACAGAGCTTACCTAGCACACACAAACCCCATTTCTACCTCTAAAATTCTAAAGAATACACCTCCTGTCAAATTCACATCCAAAAGTTCATCTACAAAGCCAGAGTGTCAGCAAGAGGGAAGGTTGGTATGTACAATGACTTTCACTTGCTTAATTACTTATATATATTTTTAATCAAACTACATAAAAAAACCTATAGTCATTAAAAATTATGAACTCAGGACCTATGAAAGAAAAATAAAAAATTTGCATTCCACAAGTTATATTTAAAAAAAAAAATCTGTCAGTACCTGATATAACTCTGATCCATAGGTTTAAAAACATTACAGAAGATATTTGGGACTGACTAAACACTAGTGGTTCTATGGGTTCTTTTTGCTGCCAAAGACAGTCCACTATGTTGCCCAGATGCCGTCGGAAATACAGAATTTGTTACAATCAAATGCTGTCTTTTTTTTTTTAAACCATTTCCAAGTAGGTGAAAACTAACTCTTGGAGTCCATCCCTGGAGACCCCCACCTTGCTGCTTACACAGCTAACACATTTGCTGTGCCCACCACCACAGGATAATAAAGGAGGCCCGGAGAGCATGCAGTCTACATGCAAAACCACAAGACTATTTTTATTACCTTGGAAAGCCCGGCTCTTTCCTTAGCAAGCTTCTGTTTCTTTCTTCCTACAAGAAAAATAAAATAAAAATTTGGCTATCATCATAAGGACTAAAACATCTAATTGCTGCAACCGTCATTAATTCTATAAAACATTCCTGACTCCAGAATTCCTGCCTCCCTGGTGAGTGATCTGATGTTTTTAGATAACAACTTTCTCTTTTCTTCTGCATCCCCAGGTCCAGCAATTCACAGACAGGGGCTGCCCCAACAGCTGTGCAGCAGAACAAAGCTCCCTCTCCAAATAAAGGAATTAAGCCATTATTACTGAAATATTCCAGCTTTAGGACTAAAAAACTATCCCTTAAGTCAAGTGGTTCTGTAAAAATAAAATCTTTGACAAGCTCTGTGACTCAGACTGGCTTACAACTGCAACATCGCTGAGGCTCCTGACCGCTGGATCCTGCAGCTCCAGCTCCCAAGTGCAGGGATCACAGGAAGGCAACTAGTCCCAGGAGTATTTACACATTTGACCAAAACAGAAGGGCAAGAGGTTGAGACCCAAAATGCATTCTGAAATTGTTACCTACAGGGTGGTTAGTTAAAAATCAGCCTCAGTGCTCTGTAACATGTAACAGTATGCCCTAGGAAAGAGTTGATAGCTTATGGGGACCACCTGCCAGGTTTGTATCCAATGCCTTACACTTACACTAGAGTGAACCTGGCCCTCAATAAAACTTATCTAATAATAGTATTTATGATTATAAGGTTTCTAGCATACTTGTGAGTTAACAGATGTAAGACATGTGGTGCGAGTGCCTAGGCTCATGTTCATCCCACAGTTAAATATGCAATATCTAGAAAGTAACAATTACTCAATACTATGACCTGGACAACAACCAGGTAGTACAAGTGAAGGACATTCTCCCTATGCACTTGATGGACAAACTATAAGAAAAAAATTTAACTCTTCAAGATCAGTCTTGCCAAGAAAGCAAAAGCCACCAACCAAGCAAAGTATCTCTGAAAATCTTAAAGTAGTCTATGAATCTGAGTCAACTTGTAACTGAAGGACCTGTAGGCTAATACTTAAAATGTAAGTGATGAACAGTTACTCAAGCAGCTTGACTTTTGACCACCTATCTTTCTTCTATTTGTATCACCGAAGACACATCTTTCAGATGAAAACCACCTCACAACGCCAAACTGTGTAATAAGCAATGAAAAATATAATGGGCTAAACCAGAACTTTTAAGAAAATAATAAAGGGCAATGAACCTAATTTCCACAACCATCTAACTAATTAATGCAGTGCTTGGGTGGGGGAGATAAGAACCTTACTGTGTTTTTAGCAGGATGATTAGAGTTCTGTCTTCAGTTTCATAAGCTATCTCTGTAATAAAGGCACAAATGGTAACAGGCTGAAGAAGTCACACATTCAATCAAGTCAGGTCTTGGTTATGTGTGGATATTAGCCTGACACTTGTAAATCTACCAAGTTTAAACAACTATATCCGTTAAACAAAAAAATAAAACTATAGGCCAGATGAATGCCTTTAATCCCAGCACACGAGAAATAGAGGTAGGAGAACCTCTGAGTTCAAGAACAGCCAGGATTAGAGATCTTGTCTCAAAACAAAAGCATGCGAAGTCTAAGTTCAGAACCACTCCAAATCCAAGCCATCATTTAAAATAAGTCACCTATTTAATGAAGTCCTAAATGAAGTATCTTTCAGTGTGTGGTATAAATGAAATGAACATGCAGTGAGCACAGTAACTAGGTACCTCAGATCAAGCCTTAATACCAGGAGTGGGGGGTAATGATCACCCACTTACAGAAGTCAAAAATCTGAATTAAGGTATCTAACCTATTTCAAATCCTAAACTTAAGCCCTTTTTCATTAAAAAACAAAACGACTTAGAAAACTATCCTTTTATTTCAGGTGTACATGCACATCAAATAACTTAAATTCAAATTACTCAAATTCTTAAGAATCACCCAACTACATAAACGGTTTAGAGACTGAATTTACTGCTACTTGCTAGCAAAAATTTGCCAAGACAAAACTTCTAGCATTCATGAATTACCGCTGTCAGCAACAGTACCAAGGACTCCTAAAGTGTGGCTTCACCTCTGCCTTGTCACTGCTACAGTTAGTAACTCACTGAAGTCACTGGTTCTGACTAGAGCTAAGAGGAAAAAACAAGCAGGCTACCACAGAAAGTGACAAAGAAGAGCAGAGGTGGAAGGCCTAGCCTGCAGAAGGTCATGGATTCAATCACAGGAAGGGCAAAAAAGTTAACAACAACCCTAGTAGGGCATGATGGCCACGCCTCTAATACTACCATTTGGGAGGCAGAAGCAGGTTTATCTCTGAGTTCTAGGCCAGACGGGTCTACTGAGAGCCTGTCTCAAAATTAAAACAACCACAATTTTTGTAAAACGATGACTTATAAACCCACTTTCTCAAGATTTCCAACAAGGCTTTCCAAAGGAATCAGACTACTTAGTTATCTCCAAATGTGTAGACCTACAGCTCCAGTGCACTGAGTAGACTTGTGGACCCAACAGTCACGCTTCACAGCCCACATTTATGAAGTCTTCGGTATGTCAAGCACCTATCCCACCAAACAAACAAGAGGCAGCTTGTACTAGATTTCTTTATAGTTATGAAGATTTTTAGTGAATGCTGGTGGTGAGTAAGCAATCTGGTCCCAAAAACGAAGTCTCTGAACCCAAACAGCATTCTTTGCATTACTCTACCTAGCTAATGGACAAAAACAAATTCTTTGTACCTCCCCACAAGATGAAAATGATGCAGCTACTTGGGGCACACTAGCTCAAAATGACCTCTAACACCTATAGTAGGTAGTAAAGGATGTACGTCTAACTTGTTAGTCTCCGATAATATATAACTATGAAGTTAAAAATGATTTAGAAACACTAAAGAAGAGTTACTGGCTGACCTCCCTAAAGAAAGTGCAAAAAAAAAAAAAAGCTAGCTTATTATTCCAACATATGTGCTTTCCGAATATATACTGAAAACGAAGAGTCCCTTGAAACTCATGGCCGGATCGATCACACTGGCTAAAGGCGTGCCCAGATTTCCCTCCGGTAAACCTCTTAAAAGATGTCGCAGGTATGAAATAAGACTGAGCCACGTGAGGAGCGCAGCCCTTTGGACTCCCCCGCACTTTGTCTAGCATTCACTCATATCTTGGAAGCACCAGAGCAAAGCCGCCAAGAGGGTTTAAGAATGCAAGGACGACACCGCATTGAGCCTGCGGATAGAGACACCACCTTCAGGGTAGGCGCCCTCTGTAAAAGCTAGCAATGGGAGGCACTAAGAAGTTCGAAGCCGGGCTACCAATTACAGCAAGCCCCTGTGGTAAACACACATAAAGAATGATTGTTATCAATGGTGAGTGCTGTAGGGAAAGGCTCGTGCCTGTTATTACAGCACGAGGCGGGGGGGGGGGGGGGACTAGCCACGAGGTCGATCAGGCCAGGAGGACCCTGTCTCCAACACGCACGCACAGGCGCCACAAGTTTAATAGGGTGACTAGAGCTGGGAGAGGTGGAACGCTGAGGCTGGAGGATTACCACCTTAGCCTGAGTTAAAGAACCATCTCCCAAAGTTAAAAAAAAAAAAAATTCCAGAGCGGTGGAAAGCCAAAAGTGCTACCCTTCCCCCGAATCGGCATGCATTCCACCGCCGGCAAGATGGAGCCAGGTCGCTTCCAAGATGGAGGCTCGCGGGCACAGGCGGGACCCTGGTCGCAGCGCGCGACGCCGGGGAGCACTCGGGGGCGCGCAGGCCTGAGGGGCACAGGAGACGCGCGGGGCCCACTCACGTTCTCGAAGCCTGTTCTTGAAGTTGGGGTCACTCCGCCTTTTGCGGTCGAAGTAGATGCAGTACCCGATGAAGAGGGCACCGCACACGCCCGCGGCGATGGCGCTGTTCCGGCCCACCATCTTCGCTCGACTGCGGCGTGTGCCGGGCCGCGGGCAGCACGCCTGGCAGCGGTTAGCTCCGACCGATCGGAGCACGCCGGCCGCTCGCAGCCGCCTGTTTCCTGTCCAGACGGAAAAGGCCGAGCGCGAGAACTTCCGGTGCGCGAGGACCCCGGGTCGTCCGCGGCGGTGCCTGAGTGGGAGCGCCTGATGCGCACGCGCAGACGACCCAGTCTGCAAGGCGGAGGCGCCATGCTGGGGGCGGGGCGTACACTGCGGAGGGGTTTGTGCGTCATTCCGCGCTTCCCCCCGCCCCCACGACCTGGGGGTTGGAGGCGGCACGTGTTTGTGGCGCGCTGAGTCAGAAGCCTCTTAACCGCCGTCCTCGCTTATGAAAGACGAAGGTGGGAGCCCTCTGTGAACATCATCTCACCTCACCGTGTCCTTCAGGAAGCCTGTGACTTGAAGTGCGTGCGCTTGCTTTTTAGGTTTTTTGAGATGGGCTCTTCCCTTGTAGCATAGTAGGGTGTGGAACTTGCTGTGTAGTCTGTCCTGGCCTCAAACCTGGAATCCTCCTGCCTTATCCTCTGAGCAAAGGAAAGGCTAAACCACCAGACCTGGCAGTATTTGCTTTGTAAGTTGGGTTGTGACTGAGCTTAGACACAGTAGTTGACTTCAAATTAATTTTACGATGTGGCGGATATCTCTGTCATACGTTGCGGAGAAGAAAAATGGGGTAATTCGTTCAAAAAAAATTTTAACCTGTGAGGGATAAAAAAAAAAAAAAGTCTAGGGGTGCCTCTGATTTCTGCCGTCATTAAACTGCAGTCTCATCGACAGTCCGATCAAGATTCCCAACCAGCTCATTACTAATGGTGAGACCCACCCACTACGTTCTTGTGGCTGGTATTTGAAGGCAAGGTAGTCTGGTACAGCACTGCTCCCTTCGCTGAGGAAGGAAGGAACATGGAAGCCTGGGACAGTGATAAGATATGCTGCAGTCTCTGAGAATTGGGTACAGAGACTAGAAAAGAGGTATCTGATGCAAGGCTTCCCTGCACCTCTCATTGTAAGAATGCTTTTATTTTCCTTCAAGATTTATGCATATGAGTGCTCTATCTGCATGTACACCTGCATGCAAGGTCAGATTGCATTACAGATGGTTGTGAGCCACCCTGTGGTTGCTGAGAATTGAACTCAGGACCTCTGGAAGAGTGCAGCCAGTGTTCTTAACTGCTGAGCCATCTCTCCAGCTCCTATAAGGATTTTTTGAAGCTATGTTAAGGGAAAAAAAAGTTCACAAGAAAAAAATGTTTAATACTCATGATTAATCAGCACCTAGCCAGTACTTTGATCATAACAAAGTCAACTTCTATCCACTGTTGACCACTTACAGTCTTGTTGCTATTAAGTATTTAATCAGATATAACAAGTTACTTTTTCAGGTAGCAAAAAATTACACAAAGCATCTTTGGAATTTTTTTCTACAAAATACATATTTTTAATGATTTACACAGTCATAGTAGCACACACATTCTAAAGTAGAAATTTCAACAATTACACAGTAACAAATTCCAAAATATACGGGGCCAGTGAGATGGCTCAGTGAATAAAAGTGCATGCTGAGGAAGGAGAGAACTCCAGTTTTCTGACCTCAACATGCACCTGCATTCACATCATATACATATCTAATGATAAAGTTACATGTATGCATGTATATAATCTGCTTTAACCTCACTCACAGGAGTGGTAAGTTGTACATAGATTATATATGTACACACAATGTTTCATCTTTATATACTTTATGCAGAAATGCTCAAGAATAATCAGGTAAAATTGCTGAAATTTAACTGAAAAAGTTCTAAATACTGTAAGGGAAACTATAAACTACCCAGTCTTGGATACAGACAATAGAGCTTTCTCTGCTGTAAGCTGTAAAAGCTACACTTTATTTTTTACTTGTATATATGTTTGTGTGGGTTATGTTCTGGAGTGTAGGAGCTTGGGGAGACCAGAGGAGTTGGACCCAGGAGCTCAAGTTACATTCAGTTGGGAATTACTTGACTTGGGTGCTAAGACTTAGGCACTCTGAAGAGCAGTGCATGCTCTTAACCAAGAAGCCATCTCTCCAGCCTCTAGAGCTGTTTTAAAGACCTTATTGGGTTTTCTACATGGCATTTCCCAAAGACAGAACTTTTACAACTAAATGAGTGAAAACTCATCCTACCCTCTTGCCTACATAAGTGAGAGGACGTGTACTTACCAGACTCTGCCTGCCTGAATCAGCCTTGGCCTCCCCCTTCCCCCACTTCACCCTGGATCCAGCCCCAATTTGCTAAGATCAGTGTCTGGAACTTAGGGAATACTGTAGCATGTTTTCCTGTCATTCGATTTTAAATTTTGCAATTTAATTAACATAATTCATTAGATGCTGTCTTTAAAACTTTCTGGGACACATGCTTCATTCTGAGTGATACTAATTTAAGCATCATGTTTTCCTGGGAGAGTATTTTCCTTATGAAACCAACTTTAGAGCCAAGGACATCAATGACCACTGTAGTCACTAGCTACATATTAGAAGTCAGTCACACATCTCTTACCGGTCTTACTGGTTAGCAATTATTAGATGTATGTAATAAAATAGAAATGTAGATCTCCACTATAACTGCAAGAGAAAGAAAAATGAGGTGAAGAATATGTGTTATAAACAGCTCACAAGTCTTTTTTTAGGGACTATGACTTCACCTGGAATCAGTATTCCCACAGTAACCATTTGAACACCTGGCCTAAACACAGAGTATTAATGTTTATTATTTTTTAAAAATATATTTCTAAGAACAATGTTTCCAACCTTACATATAGCATGAATTTGAAAAAGAGAAAATGACAGCCACTGTGGAAGCCTCCATTTTCCACATAATCCATAAAAAAAACAGACACTCACTGCAAGGTTTCACCACAGAAAGGAAGGGGGCAGAGTCTGTTACTACTACTGTTTTCTTGGTTTCTTCATTTGTACTTTTTTCTTTTGTCCTTTCTTCTTCTTTTTCATGAGAACTGCCTTTTCTCCAATAAATGCATTCTTGGAATGGAATTTTCCTTCTTTGGAAGTAAAATTAAGTCTCTGCTTAGGTTTACTGACATCCTTCTTCAAGCTTGGATTTGAATTCTGTTGTTTTAGTTTTTCTTTATTGACAGAACGCATGACTCTCAGTTTTCTTCCCATTAGCTCAGAATTATTCAACTTCAGAGCAAGATGAACAGCATCTGTGTTCTGTGGTAAGAAGAAACATTAATTTCCACCAGAAACTCCTAAGGTAACGAGACTAGTAAGGTCAGAATTCAGTGGTCTGTGTCAGTCTTCAGGCTTGCAAACAGGAGTCCTTCTAGTCTACTCCCTAGAGGTCAGATCCCAAGCTTTGGGCCTTGTTTGAGCCCCTTGTTGCTCATGTTCCACTCAAAGTTATGGGCGGAGTTCAAACTGCTTCACCAATGCTCACTGTCACAACCTCAGGTTCACATTTCATCATACGATGTTTCTTTAAAACAGTAAATAGCTCAAAAGACAACTTTTTGTAAAATTCCTGTTTTAAGTGGAAGGCAGGAAACTCTTCTACAGTCCCTGAGATGTGGGACTAGAGGGTTCTACATGAGTCCAAAAATCCTATTCTATTCCAACCCAGAACCATTAATACTATTTTGAATGATAAGGAGATACTGAAAGAACTCTACAAGCTTCTCAAAGAGGCAAGTAACATCTACACAGTAACAAATAAGATCAGTATAATAGAGCAATACAAACCTCATGCACATAAGACTCTTAAAACCTCCCTGGCAATATTTATCAAGAGTCAAAGACCCTGGGTGCTGGATAGATGACTCACTCAGTAGTTAAGAGTATATTCTGTTCTTAGAACTGGAGTTCTGGGCTCACAACCACGTGTAACTCCAGTTCAAGGGGGACCCCACATCTCTGGTGGGGGCATGTATATTCATTCACATGCACGTAGCCACACACAGACCATACACATCCATGTTAAAAATAATAAAAATGAACCTAAGTGCCATTAAGCAGTTGGTATGTTCTTTACTGCTTAAGACTGTTAGGGAACCCTGATTAACAGTCACTGAGTGACAGTCAGGTGTCTGCTCCATCTCACAGAAGGTAAAATTCCAAAGTTTAGTTCCTCTCACACCCAACACCTAGACTATTACTTAGTACTGTCAGCATGTGCAAATGGGGAGCTGTAGGCACAGCTATGGATTTAGTCAGAAACTGGGGATTTAAATGATAGCACTACCACAAAGACAGCACAGCAGTGACGACGTCACTCCAGCATTTCAAAGAGCATCCCCGCATTAGTCTCCCATACCTCAAAGAGCACATAGCCAAACCCTCTGCCGACTCCTGTGAGTGGGTTTCTCACCTCAAAGAGCACATAGCCAAACCCTCTGCCGACTCCTGTGAGTGGGTTTCTCACGATCCTCACTGCCACAATGCTCCCACAGTCCAGAAAGTGTTCCTCCAAAGCAGACTCTTCAACTTCTACAAACAAATCCAAGCACAACCGAGGTGAGTGTGTAGCTGGAGAGGTTTGACAATGCTGAGTTAAGCCAAGCCCCAGGCACACAGCATTACACAACAGGACAATATGCTGCTGCTTCCCCCCCGACCCCAAGTCACGGTTTCTCTGTAGCCCTAGCTGTACTAGAACCCACTCAGTAGACCAGCTGGCCTGGAACTCAGACATTTGCCAGCCTTTGCCTCTCAAGTGCTGGGATTAAAGATGTGTGCCGGCACCCTCCAGCTTACAATATGTTTCTTAAAACTAGCCATGAGCTAATCATTAGACTACTTGTTTTGTTTGTGTGGGTTCTGGTGCTAAGGGCACTGAACTTAAAGCCTCACAAATACCAGAAAGGAGCTCTGCTACTAAGCAACAACCCCAGCTTTTTCTAGATTTTCCTGAGGCAGCTAATATAACAATGGTCATACTTTGATTTGTTTAAACAGACTTACTGTAAGGAAGATTTCCCACAAATACTGATCGCTTGTCCCTCTGAAACAAGAATAAAAACCAGTCAGTGTATTAAAAACAGAAACTATCCTACACTGCTACCCTGCCCTCTGCATCCCTCCCCTGCCTGTAACCATCCACATCCAGACTTGATCACACTCCTGCCCATGTCTGTTTCTTGTCTTCCCTCTGCATTGTAAGAGAGCACCAGAGGAGAGACTTCATTCATGGTGGCACTCATGGTGGTTCTTAGGGAAGGCCTGCTACTGGAATGTTTGGACTGTGAGGAGCTAATCAGCAAACACTTGAGGCTCTAAGGCAGGGTTCTCAACTGTGGGTAGCGGGGGTGTCAGATGACCCTTTCACAGGGGTTGCCCAGAGACCATTGGAAAACACAGATATTTACATTACCATTCATTACAGTAGAAAAATTACAGTTATGAAGTAGCAAGGAAAATAACTTTATGGTCATGGATCATCACACATGATGAACTGTATTAAACAGTCACAGTATTAGGAAGGTTGAGAGCCACTGAGACTTGGTCTATGGGCCATATGGTCTCCATTGCAACTTCTCATCCTGCTGTTAAAACTGCTTAAGAATGAAAAACAAACTTGTGGTTGTGTACAGCTAACTTTATTAACAGACGTAGGTGGTAGGTGGGTATGGGCCAAGCAGCATACCCTGTTGACCCTCTGTGGTAGGTTCTGCTCTGACTGCTCTCTTTCAACTGAGTAACCCTGACACTCAGAGAAGCACACGCCTGCAGACTAAGTGCACAATCCTTCTTCACTGTCTGAAGACACAGCTGTCATGTGCAATCTGGTCACACTGCTGCAGCACTGAAACTATGATCTGCTCCTGGACAAAGTCCAGACTGCATAAAGTGAGGCAAAGCAGGCTTCATGGTCTGCCTGCTAACCTATCTACCCAACAGCACGCTTCGCTGTGCCCCCACATACACCATTTACCATACCAAGCTCTTGCCATTCCCCGAGGAAGTCAGGTTTCTGTCCTCAGTGTATACACCTCACAGATACTGTCTGTGAAAATATCTTCCTGCCCAGGTAAGCCATTCACGGCTCATAGGAAATCTGTTCTCCTGGAAACCCTCCTTGTTCGTTCCTGGTGGCCTGTCACCACGTGTCCCATCCCTGATGGATGAAGCATCCTGTGCTTATGACAGCATTTACCTAACACAGAGCCACAGCCTGTACCTTTCCCCTACCAAGTACAGAGAGTCTTCAGACTGGGCTCCTTACCTCTAACAAATAACAACTTTTGGTTTCTAAACAGGTTCTCACTCAGTGTCCCAAAACGTGTGACTCTCCTGCCTGTTTCCCCAGCACTGACACAGGTATGAGCCACCAGCACAACTTGAGTAACAATGTTCCTGACCTCAGTCTATTAAAAGAAGGTGCTAGACCTAATAATGATCTCTTACTTTCTCTAACATCATGGGGAAGGGTATCATCAAATAGAAAGTGACTTGTTTCTGATGGTGCCAACACTGGGGCCCTAAAGAATAAAGGCTCTTTCCCCTGTTCACACCCTTAGATCCACCTTTCCACAGGCTCTTGCTAAGATCTTTTTGTTGTTGGCCTGTTTTCTTTGGGAAATTGTCTCACAAGTCATCCAGGTGGGCCTGTAATTCCTGTTGCTTCTTCTGTCTCACCCTCCTGATGCATGGATTGCAGGCATGAGCTACCATGTCTGGCTGTCTTATTAAGATCTTTAAACAAATCACATTCTACTTACAGAGGCGGTTTCAGATGCCAGATCAACTCGAATACGAAATCCTTCTGCAATCTGGGCCCCATTTCTAGTTATAAAGACAAGGGGACATGGCTGTTGAAAATGAGCACATAGTTATGGGAACATTTGCTGTAATGAAGGCAAGTAATGAATCCATCTCTACAGGTCAGAGGACAATGACACGTTCCACCCCAGACACGATTACCTTTGCAGGGCTTTTGCAGCAGCGCTCTCCTCCTTAAATACTACATATGCGTTGATGCTTTTCTGGTCAGGATGAAATTTACGTCTACAGAGAAAACATAAGAAAAAAAGGATCATGTAAAAATTGCTCAGTGGTTAAGAGCACTGACTGCTCTTCCAGAGTACCGAGTTCAATTCCCAGCAACCACATGACAGCTCACATCTGTCTGTAACTCTTGTTCCAGGAGATCCAACACCCTCACACAGTTAGGTATATACACATGTAGTCAAAACACCAATGTAGGGGCTGTAGAGATGGCTCAGCTGTTAAGAGCATAGGCTGTCCTTCCAGAGGTCCTGAGTTCAATTCGCAGCAACCCCATGGTGGCTCACAACCATCTGTAATGGGATCTGATGCCCTCTTCTGACGTGCAGGTGTACATGCAGATAGAGCACTCATACATAAAATCAATAAATAAATCTTTAAAAAGAAAAAAAACACCAATGTACCTAAAATAAAAATAAATTTAAAAAAAGAAAAGGTTTCTTTTTTAAAAAAGTTGCCAACCTCAAACTCAAGAAAAAAAAAAAATCTGGTCTTGTTTTCTACAATCAATGTAAGACAGGGATTGCAGAGTGGAAGTTCCACATTTAAGTAAAGATCCAGTAATTTGAAAAAGAACAGACATATAAAGACAGCAAAATGAACAGGAAGCCCACTCTCTCTGTCATCATCACTGTGAGGGAGTGGTAAGAGCAAGACTCCCACATGTGTCAACCCAGAACAATAGGAGGATTAGAAATGTCATCCTGGCTCCAACTCTGCACCTAGCAAAATTCTTTTCACTGCAGGATACATCTATAAAAAGTGCACATCCACAAACAGCTCAGCACACAGGAGCCTAAGCTCCACAGCCATCACCCACCCCGGAGCAGCCCATCCTTCCTTTTGATGGCCGACACCATCCCTACTCCTTCCCTCTTACCTACAGCCCCACCTACTCTTACACATCACACTCTTACTTGTCCATTTTCCTCCTTATCTGTGGAATCGTTTGACCTACATCATTTCCCACAGCCTGCACTTGGTTGGTCTACCATTTTTGTGTATATTTGTAAGATTTGCTGGCTATGAAAAAGCAGTCTGACATGAACTTTTGTCTTCTGTGCCTTGTAAACTGACTACTAGATCCAAAAGTTGATTTGATTCAGACATGGCCCCACAAAATAAGTGTCATGTTCTTTCTTAGCAAGGCACACTTGTGTATGAGTGTGCCTACACATAAATGCAGGTGTGTGTGGAGTCAATCTGATCTCTCATCCCTCAAGTGCTGTCTACCATGTTTGTGTATAGACACTTGTTTAGTTGTAGGTAAGGGTGTCATGCACACTCATGTGTAGGCAGAGGACAACTCATGGGAATTAATCATTTCCTTCCACCATTTGGGTTCCATGGATTGAACCAAGGTAATCGAGCTTGGCAGCAGACAATTTCCCTTGCTGGGCCACTCTGCAGGCACTACCTAAGTTTTTGAGATAGGGTTTCTCATTGGCCTAGGTCTCAGCATACAGGCTAGACTGGCTGGTCACTGGGTGCCAGTGCCCTACCTGTCTCACCTCTTGGGCACTGGCACTACAAGTACGCCAAGCACTATGCCTGGCTGTTTTTTAAAAACAAGGCTTTCAGGGAATCAATCAAGCTTAGGTCCTCATGCTTGCAAGACAACCACTTAACTGCCTGAGCCATCTCCACAGGCTAGCTCCACATTGATTATTGTCAATGGTGCTGCCCAAGGGTAATATAATATGGATGTGGTTCAGCAGAAAATCATAATATTAATGGTAAATAAACTGGGAGCTGGAGAGACGGCACACTGGTTAAGAGCACTTGTGCCTCTTGAAGAGGACCTGGGTCAGTTTCCAGCACCCTCAGGACAGTTCACAACCACCTGTTAATTCCAGTTCCAGGGATGTGACATCTTTTTCTGGCCTTAAACACCAAACAGACACATAGTGGACATATACATACAAGCAAAACAACATACACATAAAAAATAAAAATAATAAATCATAAAGAAAACAGTAGAATGGACTTAGTAGGGATCACTAGTCCTTGGCTAAAGATGTTAACCCGCTACTGAAGTAATAAAAAGGCCAACACACAAATAGCACCACTAGGAGGAGAATCAGTAAAGAATGGCAGGCATGGTGCTCAGCACAGAGCACAGCACAGGGCACATTGCAGCACATACCACTGACAGTCTTTCCTATTTTGTGGAAAACAAAACTACTTTTCAAGCCAGGTGTGGTGGCGCACACCTTTAATCCCAGCACTGGGAAGCAGAGGCAAATGGATCTCTGTGAGTTGGAGGCCAGCCTCGATACAAAGTGAGTTCCAGGACAGACAGGCCCTGTCTCAAAAGACTGAAAAGGCTTTGTTTTCATACAATATAGTCTGGTCAGTTTCCCCTGCCTTACCTTCTACCACATTCTTCTCTCTCTTTGGAAAACAGGCAAATAAAAAAAAACAACCACAAGAGAAAAAAGCTTGAGAAATGTGTGTGTGTGTGTATACATACACACACATATCCATAAAAACAAAAAATCAGAAACTATAATATATAAGCAAAAGACCAACATGGTAAACAATGCCCAAACAAAACAATATGAGACAAAAAAAAAAAAATCATCTTCACAGAGTGTGTTTTGTGTTAGCCATCTACCCTGGGCCCCAGGCCTTTTATACCCACTGAGACTCCATTGGAGAAAACTAATTTTTCCTGTGTGAGCAGCTGACACTGTAGACAGCTTCTGGGTTAGGGATGAGGCTCATGTCTACTTCCACTCTAAGCACTGAGACCTGCACAAGCTGCCATAGTCTCTGTGATTTCTTATGTACAATCTGGCCGTTTTCTATTGAGAAGAAAGCTGTGATTTATTAGATGTGGAATGTGGCCAAGCACTGAGCCAAACATTTCACACATGTCATCTAACCTCAAACCTAACATGGGTCCTGATTTATGAATGAAGAAACTAAGGTTTGGTGACGTGTATGTGACAATGATCAAAAGGTAACAAGCTAGCCCAGGATAGAAACTCAGTCTGGCAGACTCCAGCACCTAATTCTCTCCCCACAACATGCAGCTGCTGACAAACCCAAAACTGTAAACATCACAAGAACACAGGAACAGAATGTGGCTCTGTTACTCTAAAAAAATCTTTGTCACATGAAGACGAGTGGCAAGCAGGTGGGTCTGCTTCACTGGAAAGCTGGCCTTGCATCAGCCTCAATGCACAATCATGAATGACGCCCAGTACTCTCCTTACCCTACAACACAGAAGACAGAAAGAGCATCTCTCCTGTCTCTCAGCTAATCTACAACATCAAATCTTTGCCAGAAGCCATAGGAGAGCAGGAGTCTTGGAGGAAAGCAGCCTGGACACTAAGGCCAGGGTCCACACTCCAGAGAGAGACAATACCAGCATGAGTCTCAGCCAGAACCCTAGAGGTCACTGATGCTGGAGGGGCATCATGCACAGGGTACACTCTGATCTGAGCTACCATCCATAGGAAGATGGAGAGTGGGCAGGAGACCTAGAGCACAACTATGATAATGACAGGCTGGAGAAGAGTAGCTAAGCCCCACCTGGCTCCTCTTCCAGATGAAGGGGAACGTGAAGATGCTGTGGAGGACAGTCAGCCTGTCACTTAGGGCAGAGACAAGCTCCAGGGCTAGAAGAAAAGGAAAGGGGAACCTCTTGTCAGCAAGATGGTATGGAACTTTAACCCACCAAAGACAAAAAGGCTGACCTAGTCTCAAGAAGGTTCAACGAGTAAAAATGCCTGCCACCATGACTGACAACCTGAGTTTGATCCTCCAGTACCCACAAGGTGGTAGAGAACCAACTCCCACAAGCACACTGTAGCACATGCAGGCCCAAACATACATATAAACATTAAAGCAGGGTGGGGGTGGGTGTTGGGAGCCAAGTCCTAGCAGAAAGCAGCTATCATCTTTGCAGCCATCTCGGGCCATATACCCTGACAAGAGACTTGTTTTTCAACGGCCCACAACAGCTGAGCACATTCTGATAAACATCTCAATTTTCTCACATACCTTGCTTTGTTATTTAGTGCCCCCAGCTGCAAGGTGCACATGGTAAAGTATCTTCAGCTGCATTCCCCTGCTTGTGCTTATATATACACCCATGATTTCCTTTCAATAAACGGGACTTGAACAAACTCTGTTTTTGTCTCTATTCTTCACGTCTCTTGCCCCTCCATCCCCACTCTCTCTCTCTTGCTAGACCCTGTTGACTGACCCCATGGACCAAAGTACCTGGCCCCCAAATTTGGAGCAGCACGGGCTGGGTTATCTGGCCCCAAACGTGGGGTGCGGACCAGAGCAGGTGGGAAGCCTGGCTGCCACAGCGAGGAAAAGTTGACCACAGATCTTGACAGATCCTGAGCCTACCTGGCCCTGAGACTAGGCCAGGACAACCAAGAGCCTGTGCTCCTATTCCTACTATACCACAAGCTCATCAACTGATGGAACATTCTATACTGGATCCACAATAAATTGTGAAATTTCATGGTTTTGATCCTGACACCAAAGCTGGTATTGGCCAGATGGCTCAGTGGTTAAGAGCACTGGCTGTTCTTTCCGAAGACTTGGGTTCAATTCCCAGCACCCCCCATGGTAGCTCACAACTGTCTGTGATTCTAGTTCCAGGATATCTGGCACCCGCACACAGACAGACATACATGTAAGCATCCAAAGCTTCTGCATCCAGAATATGTAGCTTTCTTCAACCTCGTCTGTCTGTCTGTCTCTCTCTCTCAGAAACAAGAGAGAGAGAAAAAAAGTAGAAAACAAATGAAACTTTTACAAATACTTGACCAAATATGCAAATACACAGTAAGCACATAATCAATGTTTGCCATTTTAAATTATGAGAACAACACAAGAGTGTATGGAGAAGCCTTTAGAAAGGCTAACACTGAATGACTGGCACCACTCAGTGCTGGTAAACAGCTCTGTGAGACAGCAGCCAGAATTCTAAGTGCAAAGTAGCCTCACTACTTCCCAGTGCTCTTTATGACCACAAGACATCTGCAAGTATAGTTAAATAAGTAGGGTAGACCTTACAGAACACTAGGATGGTCTAAAATAAAGAGAAAAGAATCTTATTATGAGCTTACTTTATTGCAGCCAACTTCTTGGATAGTGTCCCCTCTGCTGGCATCTTTTAAGAAGAAAAAGAAACATTAAAAATTTGAATTTGAGGTATTTTTTCAAACTAGTTAGCATTTTCATTCTTCCCCCTTTTTCAGTGCTGGAGACTGATCTCAGGGCTGAGAGCATGCTAACATGGTCTATCTCTGCCCGTGTTACCCCCAGCCACATAAGTTACATTTTAGGAGCCAAAATATTCTAACCACATGTAACTCATGTAACACAAAACACTGTAGGGCAATCAATCAGAAGCAGCTATCCTAATGCTTGTGAAAAGGAGTCTGAGAGCCAGGAGTGGCAGCACACACCTATAATCCTATAATCCCAGCACTTGAGACAGAAAGATGAGGAATGTAAAGCCACACTCAACTACAAGTGAGTTTGAGTTCAAGGCCACAGGAAGCCCTACCACAAAACAACTGGGGAGTGGGGCATAAGAATTAAGATACAAGGAATTCCACAGACAACATCACACTCAACAGCCTCTCTCAAACAACAAAGGCACAAGTATAGACAATGGGCTCAGACTACAGGATGATTCCAAGACCATGAAGAATCAAGAAAACATGATGAAAACAGTTTTATAAAGTAAACCTGTATGGGGGAGCATCATTTATAAATTAAACCTAAAATGTCTAAACTAGTAATAAGGAAACATTTCCTTTGCATCTAAGAGATTATATATCCCAGTGGGTCCTAAAATTAGTGGTGTCTTTGTTTTAGACAGGGCCTTTGTAGCCCAGGCTAGCCATGGATTCAGCATGTAGCTGAGGATGATCTTGATTTCAGACCTACTGAACATACTCCAACAGAGCCAAGGGCACACTGTACTAGCAGCACAAAGAAAAGCCAGAGTGACAAAGCAGCAGTTGTGGGAAGGGCCAACAAAACACATGGTTTCAGTTCAGGGTAGTAAGTGCTATGCTGCAAGATGAGGCTCAAGAACAGACACCTGGAGACCTTGAAGGGAAGGAGACCACAGTCTGGTCAGCTCTTCTAACAAGAGGTAATAAAATGGCCAGAGAGATGGCTTAGCAGTAAAGACAACTGGCTACTTTTCTAGAAGACCCAGGCTGGTACCCCACAGCTGTCTGTAACGACAATCAGTTCCAGTGGATCTGATGCCCCTTCCTGGCCTCCAGAAACACTGCATGCATATGAAAATTGCAGGCAAAACACCCACTCATACACATAAAAATAAATCTTAAAAAGAGATTCTCAATAAAAATTAAAATTATTTTTTGAAAGAATTCATGAATATAAGCCAAGGAGAAAAGAAAGAAGTGACTCAGTTGGGAAACACTTGTATGTGAAAAGCAATCAGAACAAGTAACAGGCCAGGTGCACCAAAGGAGTTAACACAGGCAGCGCCAAATCCTACAGGCATCCCGCACCTAGCGTGTGGGCCAAAACACCCCAGTTAGTTCAGGTAAGAGCTTCACACTGGGAAGTGGAGCTCAGAGGAGCAGGTAAAATAGGCGGCAATGGCGGGGAACAAGCATGCTGACAGAAATAATGAGCACTGTCAAGATCTTAGAAAATGTCTTCTTTTAAAAAAGCAGTCCTTTTTCCATTGGACACTTGGCAACGTTCAGGGAGAGTTTGCAGGAGTTAGTGGGTAATTCCATGGATGCACAAGGCAGCAACAATAACAGAATCATCCAGTCCACACCTCAACAGTGCGGAGTGGGTAATTCCATGGATGCACAAGGCAGCAACAATAACAGAATCATCCAGTCCACACCTCAACAGTGCGGAGACTGAGAAACTACAAACCCTAGGCAAGCATTCCACGGATGATCTACGCTCTCAGCCCTGAGAAATTCATGTAAGCAAGAACAATTAAACAAGGCAAGCCCTGCACACTCAAATACTGCACACTACACTGAAAAGAATTTTGAAAATCACACTGCTGGGTGTGATAGCACACACCTTGAGTTCCAGCACCCAGGAAGTAGAAGCAGAAGTAATGGATTTCTGTGAATTCTAGACCAGCCTGATCTATTTAGCGAGTTCCAGGACAGTTGGGGCTACATAGTGAGATTCTGTCTCAAAACAAACAAGAACAGAAACAGACACTGTCCTGGTATTTCATCCTCTGAACATTAGCATAATCACTTGAGAGTGAAATCAGACACCAAGCACTCCTGTGATGTCCAAACATGGCTGCTGCAGTCACACTCCTCTCCTGACCACTAGTCAGGCTGCCTGTGGCATGGTAACAGCCCTGTGCCTACTCAGCACAGTCACCCACCTGCCCACCAAATCCCAGGTCCAGCCTTGGTGACAGATGTCACTGTACTGTGTGAACTAATGCAGTGCTGCCTCAACAGTGCACACTGGCACCAAGGGGCCAGTAGGACTGATTGACTAACAAGCATAGTGACACTGCAGTTTACAGTGGGAGAGGACACTTACCACAGAACGAAATCGTACAGATTCTACTTGTCCATACTCTTTAAAAAATGACTTCAGCTTCTAAAATAAACAATATACACATGTATGTTAGCTAACACCCTAAACATCTGTGTCACAAAAGAAATGATGTAAACTTATTTTAAGAACATTCCAGAACCAAGTGTAAGTAGTATATGCTTGTTATCCCAGCACTAGAAACACAAAAAGGAGTCACGAAGATCAAGTCTTTACATCAGTGTCTAAAAACCAAAGAACACACCAGAAAATACATGTTGGATAGACAAAAAGATTTTACAGAAACTTAGGAAGAAAAAAAATACTATTTAGGTTCACATTAGCATCCATGCACAACCTGCATGGACGCTGTATGTTTCCATGTTTATAACCTATGAGACACATTAGACATAGTTAGACTTGTATCTTGCACATATTCTCTGATCTTTTCACACTGGCTTAAACCATAGTACCTTTTAAGGATACTGTTTCACAGAGAAATTCTCCAGCTGTCTGATTCAGCATTGTGTGGAGAATCCTAGTTAGTCATTTTGGGGCAAATTCTTGGACTATCTCAAGATGTGAAGAACATACATGTATTTACAGGTACAACAGTAATTTCTACAACTAATTCTAATTAAAAAGCCATGTACTGTATGAATATTTTTACAGGACAACATAACATCACACTTCTCTCCTCTGAGCTCTTATGACCTAAAAGGAAGATCAATAAACCAACAGCAAGATGTCCACAGGCGGGCTGGTGAGATGGCTCAGCGGTTAAGAGCACTGACTGCTCTTCTAGAGGTCATGAGTTCAAATCCCAGCAACCACATGGTGGCTCACAACCATCTGCAATGAGATCTGATGCCCTCATATGGGTGTCTGAAGACAGTGACAGTGTACTTACATATAATAAATAAATAAATCTTTAAAAAAAAAAAAAAAAAAAAAAAAAAAAGATGTCCACAGGCAGCTGAGACAGGATGACTGAGATGTCAAGGCTAGCCTAGGGTACATAAGGAGACTCATAGGGAGATGATACCAAACTGACAAAACATACCTGGACACAGTCTCTTATCCTAGAACTTAGGAGGTAAAGGCAGAAGGATTGCCATAAGACCAGAGTAAAGAGTCAAAAACACAAAGGAGGGCTAGAGAAAAGGCTCAGCAGTTAAGAGCACTTTTCCCTCTTGAATAGGACCTGGGTCTGGTTCTCAGCATGGGGGTGGAAGAGTGGACAGGGTCGGGTACTGAGGTGGGACCCAACATAGGAAAAGGACAAAGGCTGATGACCTTTGGCCTTTTGCCAGAAGCTGATGGCTTCTGGCAATTTTAACTCTCCCTTGTTATACTGGGGCCAAAAGCTGATGACTTTTGGCAATTTCACTCAGAAAGGAAAAAGGAAAGAAGGGAAGGGAGGGAGGGAAGGAGGGAGGGAGGGAGGGAGGGAGGGAGGGAGGGAGGGAGAGAGGGAGGGAGGGAGGGAGGGGAGAGAAAGAAAAGAAAGGAAGGAAGAGAGGGAGAGAAAGAAAGTCAGTCAGTCAGTTAGGTGCACACACACAAACTCTGGCTCAGCCTGACCACCTGTTTCATCAATTTCACAAATATACATGCATGCTTAAATACATACACATATATCTATATACATACGCATGTACATACATTCAGACATATATACATTTATACATTTGGGGGATGGAACAGAGCCCCGACAGCCACACCTTATTTTTTTTTCTCTCAGTCTTTTTATTCCTTCTCAGACAAAAGTTCTATTAAAATTACCTCACAGATAAAATGTTACACAAAAGGGGAGTTACAGAAGAATGTTGATAGTAAGTTCAAAGCAGTGTTACATTCTACAAGCTCAGTATAAGTTCAAAGCAACAGTTTTACATGGCCTTGTTTTATCATAGTGCACACCTGTGGCCTCATCCTTGGACCTGACCTAGAAGGAATGTTTTCCCTTGATCTCAAATTTGTTTCAAGCCTATTTCTCTTCTTAGTGTAATTTTGAATCTCATTGTACTCCTTATAATGCAGCCTTTACTTTCTATTCTATGAGGCAGAAGCACATTCTATTCTTGATTCTGATTTTATCATATCTTTCTGGCAAAACAACTAAAACCATCCCCTTAAACTTTCTTCCTAAAATTATTTGAATCAAATCAGGAATTCCAAAAGTGATTAATTCATCTAAACAGCATTAATTCATGAAAGTTCGTCTTCACATTCATCTGCAGGAAATTTGTCCAATAGGTGATTATCACCCAGGAAGTAATCACACCAGGCTATAGGCAGTGAGGGTCTCCCTGGAGTCCACTCACTCCAAGCCACATAAATGAGGAATATGGTGATGATAAACATGAGAAAGGACATTAGTAGCAAGAAGCAACCCTGGGTCTAAGTCTCTGGGGCCTTGCCTCACCAGAGCATAGCCACTGCAGCTGAGCAAGGGGCTGCTGTCTCCAGGGAGCTCACTTGTCCACTGCAGGCTTTCCTGCATGGCGCCCACCATCAGCACACAAATGATAGCTCACAATCATCCATTACTCCACTTCCACAGGATCTGATGCCTTCTGACCTCCACAGGCACAAGGTATGCATGTGATACACATACATTTATATGGGGAAAATATTCATCCCCATAAAACAATTCTAAAAAGTAGATTTACTTAAAGGACTATACATGATATCTTTACAAATGAAACACTAGGAAACATAATAAACGTCACTGTGGGGAGGCAGAGGCAGGCGGATTTCTGAGTTCAAGGCCAGCCTGGTCTACAGAGTGAGTTCCAGGACAGCCAGGACTACACAGAGAAACCCTGCCTCGAAAACAAAAACAAAAAAAAACAAAAAAAAACAAAAAAAAATAAAAAAAATAAACGTCACTGTGTTTTCTAGGAGAAAAATAATATAAACCCATCCTTCCAAAGATGAGTAGAATTTGGGCCTGAGGTTTACTCATTGACTACCAACCACACCCACATAGAAGGCAAAACGTAAGTACTCATTCTTCCACTCAGAAAATATTCTTTGAACCCTTGCTATGTTATTAGGCATCCTCTCATGTGTGCAAGACAGAACAGTGAAGGAGGGAGGAAAGAGGGAAAGAGGAAAGGAGGGAAGAGGGAGGGAGGGAGGGAGGGAGGGAGGGAGGGAAGGAAGTAAGGACAGAGGGAGGGAGAAAAAGACACGGGGGAGAGAAAGATGGTTGGTTTATATTCTAGTGGCATTAACAGGAAGAAAGCTGAAGAGGAAAATTAAAACAAAACAAAACAAAAAAAAAAAAACAGAAATAGGCCACTGTTATTTCAAACATGGCCTTCAAAAGCCTGAATTCGGGCTAGGAGCCACCAAGCCCCAGCAACACACACACACACACACACACACATATACAAGCATACAACCTGGATTGAGCCTGTGACTACAGGATTAGGGAGGTGCTGGCACCAGAACCCGCCTATGCTGTGGTGACTAGGAAACAGAATGAAGCTACAGCTATGAGTTAGTCATCACAACCTTAGTCAACAGCTTCTCTAGGTTTATATTACCCACCCACCCCCAACTCACCTTCTTATTACACGTGACAGGCAAATTGCCAACAAACACAGTCCTCTCGTTTTTCAACCGCTCCTCTTCGGGGTTGAGAGGGGTTTTTGTTCTTTGGCCCCCATCCTTATCAAGGCTGAGGGCACCATCCAGTGCTTCTCCATGTGCCACTTTACCCCGAGGCTGAGACCTTCTTTTTCCCTGCCCTTGGTTCTGATGAAGCTCTTCTTCTAAATCAGCACTTGCTAGAGCGCTTTCCCTAGTTTTTTAAGGAACAACCAAAGAAAAGAGGAGTCAAAAACAAAACAACAAGAACCCCAGCATTTGACAAAGCCAGTCTTGCCTCCTCACTGGAAACACCTCCTGCTGGCTTGTGCTGCCTGCTACCTTTAGAAAACAAAGTCTATAATCAAGAGTTTAAGGAATATTTGATGGCATACTAAAAACCAGGCAGTGCAGCGGCAGAGGTGGCAGCGCAGGAGTTCTAAAGGAAAGCCACATACTCTCCAAGGTCTACTTTACAATCTGCTGTTGTCTTGTTTATTATCATTCTCTGCTCTAGGCCCTGGACACTCAACACTCTCTAAGACCTAGAAAGGTTTCTATGCCCACCAAACAGTCTGAAAACAGGATCTGTCAACTGAGGAAATGAGAGTCCTTACTTATAAGAGCTCTGTCTAGTTGAAGGACTGCTAACTAAAGTAAGCGAAGGGACTCTAGCCCACCAAGCATGGCAAATATGGCTGACAGGCTTTGCGCCCCTCCCCCGCCCCTTGCTAAAAAACATAAGATTACATTCCTAAAGCTAACCACCAAGGTCTATTCCCTTATTTGGCCATTTCCTTCTCCCAAGGCTGACTACCAAGGTCCAGCAATCAAAAGCCCACTTTGGTTACCCTAAGGGTTAACAAACCCAATCAAAATTAAACACCTAACCCTAACACAGGGTTTCTCCTTTTACCTTTATAAACTGCTATTTGCCTATGGGCCACTAGTGTCTCCTCTTTATCTAGAGGCAGTCCTCTGTGGTCACTGCCTTTCCCTACTCCCTGTCCCTTGACGCCCAGGGCCAAATATCCCTCCACCTTGTTCCCTTCTCCTTTTCCCTCATCCTCTATTTCATGTCTTTGTCTCTTATTCCCTGCCCTCTATCCTTCTGGGGCAAATCAATCTCCTTTGTGCTGGGAGCTTGGTCTTGAGGTGTCTTGTGGTAATACTGTCCCTTCAGGAGCTCTGAAATGGTAAATACAACAGATGGTACTGGTACACAGGGACACTCGGTCTGAGGTCTGACATCACACTGACAGTTGAGAAAAGAAGGGGCAGCAGGAGCCATGCAATGACTCACTGGGTTCCCACTGTGCTCCTTAAACGCCTTTCAGCAGTACTACAGAGGCAGGCAGTGATCACGTGGCAACAGTTAGGATACCACACAGAACCATGAAGACCAAGAAAGGCTTCTCAAAGAAGAAAGCAGTATGTATCATAGTCTTTAATAAATGCTACTATTACTCCTCCACCAACAGCCCAAGTACATTGATCTGCTCACTTCAGTATCTAATGTAGCTGGCAAGGAAAAAAGGTGTGGTGTGGCCCAGCTGAGAATGACCTGTCATGCAAAAGCATTGACCTTTAGTCTTTGGAAGACAGGAAACTACAAGACAGACTGCCTACACTTGGGCACTGGAAACCAACCTGGACTACACAGTTGGGCTGTACTTCAAAAATTAATTTGAGTCCAGGGACATAGCTCAGCAAGGCACTTTGCCTAGTGTGTATTTTTGTTCAATGTCCAGCACCATAGAAAGGAAGGGAAGAAAGGAGGAAGAGAGAGAGGAAGGAAGGAAGAGAGAAGGCAAGAAGGGAAGGATGCGGGCAGGGAGGGATGAGGGTGGGGAGGCACACACACACAGATTGGCAGGCCCAAGTAAGTCATGCAATGGAGAAAACAGGAAAGGAACAAGATGTATAACCATGAACAGGAAAGACATTGTCATGACAATACAAATAAAAGCCAGAACAAGGATGGAGATGGAAAGAAGGCAGACTAAAGAGAATTAAAGAATAGTGACTGGGCCGGGCGGTGGTGGCGCACGCCTTTAATCCCAGCACTCGGGAGGCAGAGGCAGGCGGATTTCTGAGTTCGAGGCCAGCCTGGTCTACAGAGTGAGTTCCAGGACAGCCAGGGCTATACAGAGAAACCCTGTCTCGAAAAACCAAAAAAAAAAAAAAAAAAAGAATAGTGACTGGACTTGAGAAGCTAAGGCAGGAGGATCTTTTGTTTGTTTGTTTGTTTGTTTTTCAAGACAGGGTTTCTCTGTATAGCCTGGGCTGTCCTGGAACTCACTCTGTTGCCCAGGCTGTCCTCGAACTCAGAAATTCGCCTGCCTCTGCCTCCCAAGCACTGGGATTAAAAGTGTGTGTCACCACTGCCTGGCTCAAGGCAGAAGAATCTTAAGTTCAGGAATAACAGACTGGCTTAGAGAAATACAGTTAGACTGTCTTTTCATTTAAAAAACAAAACAAAACAAAACAAAAAAAGACAACTTCAAGACTTAACAACTGAGTTTCTATGAAGAGGGGAGAGCACAGGATAACTCCTGAGCCACTGGCTAAGGCAACTATCTAGAAGTGAAGTACCATTAATGCAGGATTTCAGTTTGAAGACTTTTTTTTTTGCTCTTCGGTTTTTGTTTTAGGGAAGGGCCTTATGCAACCGAGGCTGACCTCAAACTCACTGTATAGTGTAGGATTACTCTGAATGTCTGATCCTAGTACTGCCACCTTCCAAGTGCTGGGACTGCAGGTATGTTACCATGTGTGGTTTAGACAAGGAAGACTCCACCAAACGAGGTACACCTCTAGTCTCATGCAACATTATCATAAGGTGAACAAGGAATACACAGGTACAGATACCGCTAGTCAAGAAGACCGAACAGGTTTAGCACTCAGGGCCAACACACACACCAGTGCCCAGGAAGGACATCTGTGAGGTGACTGACAAGAACTCTGTTTCCCAAGAGCAAGCTCAGGAAAGGTGTTCATCTTAATTCAGAGACAAAACAGAGAAGCAAGGGAACAGAAAGATCACTCGGAACGTAAAGCTTTGAGAAGGCAGTCACCGAGTGTGAGCAGCGTGCAGTCCTCAAAGGGTATGAAGGTGGTGGGGAATTAGTGCAATGGCTCAGCGGGTAAAGGCAACTGTCGTGCAGCCGGATGACACCAGCCTGACCCAAAGACCTACACTGCAGAGAGAGACAGAGAAGGGACTCCAAGGAGCGTCTCTGGCTTCCTTCCACAGGCCACTGTGGCAGAAACACACTGACACATATACAGACACAAATGTGGTAACTACTAAAGGTTTTCTGAATAGGAGAAAAGAGGAGAGGATAAAAATGGAAAAGGAAAATAAATTTCAAGGAGCGAAAAGGAGTTAAGAGGCAAGGGTTTGTGGAAGCTGAAATACAGCGTAGGTTGCATAGTGAGTTCAAGATCCACCTGGGGTGTAAGAAATTCAAAAGAAAGAATAAGGAACACTAACTAGAAAAGTAGTGTATCTGTTTGGATAGTCACTCATATATTCTGTATAAGAAATGTTAAGAGCTGGAGAGATGGCTCTGGTTAAGAGCACCATCTGCTCTTCCAGAGGTCCTGAATTCAATTACCAGCAACCACACGGTGGCTCACAACCATCTGTAATGAGATATGATGCCCTCTTCTGGTGTGTCTGAAGACAGCGACAGTGTACTCACATACATAAAATAAATAAATCTTTAAAAAAAAAAAAAAAAAGCCAGGCGGTGGTGGCGCACGCCTTTAATCCCAGCACTTGAGAGGCAGAGGCAGGCGGATTTCTGAGTTCAAGGCCAGCCTGGTCTACAGAGCGAGTTCTAGGACAGTCAAGGATATACAGAGAAACCCTGTCTAGAAAAACCAAAAAAAAAAAAAAAGAAAAAGAAAACCAAATTCATGTTTGACAGACACACAGTAACACTTGACACAAACCACAGGATGTATTCCAATTTGCAGGGAACAGAGAAGGGACTCAAGTCCTAACAAGGCTGGCTCAGAAACAAGCAGTGATAAACTTAAAGACCTAAAAAGCTGACCTACCAGTATCTGTTCACTTAGGATAAATGGCTTTCTTATATTTTTAACCCTGTATGAGACCTTATATAATGTATTTTTTTAAATTTTAGAATATGCAATGAGAAAAAATTAAGATGAACATTAAAATTACAAAAATTGCCTGACGTATTTAATACGGCAAGAAGGAGAATTCCACCAACCTGTTTGCCAGCCTCTTGTCTGCATCAGAGAGTTTCTTCACTTTCACTTTTCTTGCAGGCTCTTGCAAAACTGGCTTTTTAATATGGGACGCACTCTCTTCTTCGTCATCACGTTTTCTTTTTTTAGATGTTTCCTTTCAAAAGTTTGAAGTCATATTTAAAACCTCAAACTTTTAAAAATCCTGACCCTAAAACTGCGCGTTGTGGCATATGCTTGTAACTTCAGCATTCAGGATATAGAGGCAGGAGGAACTGTGCCAGGCCAACCAGAGCTACATAGCAAAGTCCCCGTCTCCAAGTCCCTGAGCAATACTGCAATGCCTTTCTACATGGATACTTCTTCACTGGTTTCAGAGAGAAGTAGGATATTCTTCACATTAGTCATGGGAGCAGATTTGATGGATTTGGTCACACCAGCGATTCAGTGGAAAGCTGAGGCAGGAATCTAGAATCTGAGCTACCGTATATGCTAAGCCTGGCCAACTAGTGAAAGCCTGTCTCAAAATAAAAAAGTAAAGTCGGACATGGTGGAGCAACTCTGTAATCTCAGCACTCGAAAGGCTGGAGGAGGATCAGGAATTTAAGATCATCCTCGGGTACAAAAAAGAAAATTGAAGCCTGCATGGTCTACAGGAGACTGTCAATCAAATCGGCTGAGGGTGAAGTGCTAGCCCAGCTCAGGGGCCAGACAGCTACTGCTGTCAGGGGAGTTACCCCCTAAATCTATCTCTAAAGGAATACTCAGGGTGCAGCCCGGCGACTCACCTGGGGTACAGGCACAAATACAGGGGGTGCAGATGGCTCCGTGGTGCTGAAGAGAGCGGCCAGCCGCCCCGTCCCGCCTCCAGTAGGACGTGGGCCGCCCCGCAAGCTGTCGGCGACCTGTCCCACCATGTAGTCGGTGACCGCATTCCCCACGCCATCGTCAGGACTCTGTCTGCAAACACAGACACACGCTCAGGCACGCCGCGCCACTCACCACCAACCCATCCACACCAACGCCAGCTGCCACTCACCTCCGTTCCTGGCCCTTCCTTTTCTTGCGTCCCTCCCCTCCCAAAGCCATGCTTAAAACTGAGCTTCCGGGACGGAAGTCCTGAGTCCGCACTTCCGGGATCCGGCTAGTCCCGCGTTCCCCCTGGTTCCGGGTTCCGGCTGCCTCCAGGTTTCTACTTCCGTTCTAGGGCCGGGCTCTTCCGCTCAGGACCACGCCCCTTTCTCTCCATTCAGCCACCGGCTACACAGAAGCTGTGTTAGGCTTAATACTACGGAGCTATGGATCAGAGAGGTTTTAGGGTGGTGCTAGTCGTAGTCCGCTGGCTTCTCAGTGCATGCCTAGGTTAGAGAGTGCAGCAAGTCTGATGGGTAGCTGAGGCCTAACGTAAGCACGAGGGTTAGCTAAAGCCTGACATAGTGGCTTGGGCCATTAATCCCAGAATTTGGTGCTTGTAGTAGTCGGATTGCCTCGAGTTCCAGGACAGGCTAAACTACACAGCTCCAGGATAGCTACCTTGTCTCAAAAGAAAGAAAGAAGGAAAGAAAGGAAAGAAGGAAGGAAGAAAATCAATCAATCAATCGATTGATCAATCAACCAGACCCCGGGCTTGGGTGGGCCACAGCTCATTGAGGAAGGCTATTTCCAAGAAATGGGCCTACAAGGGTTTGTGTTAGCAGTCAGGAAGTCGGTTTGGAGGGTAAAAGGTGCTCTGAGGGGAAAGGGGTCTGTACACCTTTCCCGAAGTTTGACGTTTCAAAGTCAGCAGAAAAGAAGTAGTTGGGACCACAGCTCTAACCAGTCACATCCATGTACTATTCCATCTTCAAAGCCGTCCCGCCATTCTTTAAGTAAATACTTGGTACTTAGTTTTTTTTGTTGTTGTTGTTTTTTATGGTGGCTTATATTTGTAATCTCTGTGTTCTAGGGCCTAGGTAGAGGTTGGCCATGATTTTGACGCGATTCTGGGATACATGGTCATAGCCTCTCTTGCCTGCTGTAAGACCCTGTCTCAAACTGTTCTCCTCGTAAACTTTTGTATCTAGCCTCCCCTTTAGGGCTCCTGCTTCCTAGCTTTCCTCATAAGGGTTCATGATTCGCTATAGAGTGATAGATACCCCGGATTCAAATAATAGGTAAACACGAAGAGTGTTTTATACTGCAGAAGTCCAGCATGCTGAGGTCTCCTATTTCAAAGATAGACACCCAAGTGAGCTTGCAGGCCTGATTTAAAGCACGTCAGGGAATTCTGGGGTAAGTAACCTCTGTTAATCTGTTGGGTCTATCTCTACGGATACTGACATTCCATTACCGGGATGTGGGGGTGGGGGGCTGGAAACTTGCTGGGGAGGTCTGGGAACTGTTACTGAGGAAGTAGCTGAGGAAGTCTGGAAACTGCTGCTGACCCATTGTCCTTGCTTCAGGACAGGTCGCTGGGACATTCTATTACCTGAACATGAAGACTGAAGCCTGGTTTTATTTTTTTCCTATTAGTAATTGACTTGCCTGGACGTACCCAGTTTTTAGGCCCAGTCTCCTTAACTACCAATTTGAAAGTCTGTCATGGAATCAACCTAGGCTTCTCATTCCTCCCTTTCAGTAATGGGCCATCTTGAATCCTTGAGATGTTTCTGAGACCCCTACACTAGCAGCTCCAGCCAGCCCTGTGTCAAAGAGAGAACCTAGTAACACAGCGGAAATAGCCACACTTTTAACCCGATTGTTTGGAGGTGCTAGCTGGTTGAAGACATAAAAATCCTCAGTCCTTACAACCAGGCCATAAATGCATGGAGTAAGTCCCAAGATATAAGCCCTCCAAGCATGCTCTGGGGGCAGCATGTATCCTGCAACAGAATGGGTTACAATGTGGTTCAACGAAGCACCTATTAGCTAAGACTGGAGACCAAAGAGCATTGCAAAGCTAGCTATGCAACCCCTACCCCACACTGTCCGTTGAGTCCTATTTATACTCCCTCTGAACATTATGTGTCCACCCATGGGTCTTGCCTCAGAAAAAAACACTGTGAGTTTGTCTTAGCAAAATTCTACCTGAGTCTGAATCAACTGACATATCCAGAAACTTTTATTTTACTCTGTCAGTTGGGTCAAATCTGCGGAAGTAGCAAGAAGTGACCAGAACTCCGGAAGTTTTTTGGTGCATTTCTCTCTATGAAGTCACAATAAGCGGAGCAGTGGTGGTGCACACTTTTAATCCCAGCACTTGGGAGGCAGAGACAGGCGGATTTCTGAGTTTGAGGCCAGCCTGGTCTACAGAGTGAGTTCCAGGACAGCCAGGACTGCACAGAGAAATTCTGTCTTGAAAAAACAAAACAAAACAAAACAAAAAATCACAATAAACTATGACCAGTTAAGAACAGTAAGGTGAGCCGGGTGGTGGTGGCGCATGCCTTTAATCCCAGCACTTGGGAGGCAGAGGCAGGCGGATTTCTGAGTTCGAGGCCAGCCTGGTCTACAAAGTGAGTTCCAGGACAGCCAGGATTACACAGAGAAACCCTATTTCGAAAAAAAGAAAAAAAAAAAAAAGAACAGTAAGGTGTATTAATACAATCCAGCGTTGGCCACTGTTTGTTGAGTTATATTTCTTTTAAACATCATGAGTCCTTTCACGTATCTGCTTTAGCAAAGTATCCTTTCACCTGCGTGCCGCAACAAAACATTATTTGATACAACCTACTTTCCAAAGACACCAGAAGTTTCCACTTCACATAGGTGGTCGTATAACCTTTTGAAATGAAGACATGATTGCCGTTCCTGGAACAGGCAGTACAGAACCGTTTGTAGTTGTTACAGGTAGGGCATAGCCCATTCCTCAAGAAACAGAGGTTTAATCATAAACAGGATTGAACCTTGTTTGTCTTTACTATCAGAAGGCTTTTAAGCCTAAGATGGAGGCAGACTGGTCTTTCCAAAGAAAGGATCAAGAGAGAAAAAGAGACCAAAAGAAGGCCAAGAGAGACCATAGCAGTATAAGGGACAAGAAGCTGGGGGAGGGGAGATCCAGAGCTGAGTGCAGGGTGCGGGGGGGGGGGGGGGGTTGGAAGGAGGTTGGGGAGGAGGGCAGAGAAGAACTGTAATGCCAACATGGACTCGGTAACAGGTACTTGTGATACTTAGGGAGCCTGGAGGCCAGCATGCACTTTGGCATTCTATAGATTTGTTTTTGTTTTTCAAGACAGGGTTTCTCTGTGTAGCCCTAGCTGTCCTGGAACTCACTCTGTAGACCAGGCTGGCCTGGAACTCAGAAATCCACCTGTCTCTGCCTCCCAAGTGCTGGGATTAAAGGCGTGCGCCACCACTGCCCGGCTGCACTTTGGCATTCTAATAGGTACCACAGATAGCCATTAGTCCCTTTGCCAATGTTAAGGAAAACAGACCCCTTGGTAAAAGGGACCGTGCTTAACAGGTTCTGAGAAACACTGGCTTTTGTCTAACTACCAGCATTTGGGAAAATGGAGTTTCCTGTAAAGCTGAAAAGGACCACAACAATTTTTTTTTTTAAAGAGGAAGAGAAGAGAAGGGAAGGAAAATGCCAAAGGAGAGGAGAAAGAAGAGAGAAAGGTGGTAAGGGTCTTGTGGCAAAGGGTATCCTGAGCATGAGAGGGAATGCCACAAAATCACAACACACAACAGCTCTCACAAAAGAGATGGGGGGGGGCACAAAAAGATGCCTCTGAGCTGGGATGTAAGAGGGGGTGGGGGGTCAGGCCACGATAGTGTAGGTCTTATAGTGAGGTATGGAGCATGTGCGTAGTGAAAATACAGGACAAACGATGGTGGAAACATGTTGCTTTAGTGACACACGTCACATTGGCTTTAGTGACACATGTTATGAGGCTTTAGTGATGACAACTGAAGGTGGGGTGGGGGATGGGGAGCACTGTTTCTGGAATGTGGGTGGGTTTTGGTTGCCTAAGGAAGGAGAAAAGAAAGGAGAGGGGGGAAAGGGGTGGGGACAGAGGAAGGAAACAGAGAAGAAAGGGAAGGAGAGGATATGTCCATGTGCACCAGCACAAGTACTGTTTCTTCGAGTGAGTGTATGTGTGCATCTGTGTGTGTGTGTGTGTGTGTGGTTTTGTAAAGCCCAGTCAACTCCGTTTTTGAGAAGCTCCTAGCCAGGGGCTAAACTCCAATTCCAGGAGGAAAACCACAAAGTCCACTTGAGCAAACATCCTATGGCAAACCCCCCAATCCCAGCAGCAGCCAGTCAGGCTACAGCAGCAGTCAAGGTACATAGAGATAACCTAAGACATCCCGAAGAGAACAGATAACCTAGCCATCCTGTTTGTCAGATGGGTCTTCCCCCCCCACCCCCACCCCCCGTGTTCGGTTCCTACAGATTATGCCAGAACGCAGTTTTTAAAATACTAACTTGCTGACCCGTATGGAAATTCCCCAAGCTCGCTGTAACCACTGATGTGTTTATAAAAAGATAAAGAGGAGAGGGAATGTTTTTGTGGATGTGTGGTAAGGTATGGGAGAAGGGGGTGCCTCCGTGGGCCCATACTGAGGCATCCCTTCCCACTGAGAGACCAGTCACACAATGGTGTAGTATTGGATAGAGTTTATTCAGGGCATGGGGAGGGCAGTTGAGGGGTTGGGGGGAAAGAGAGAGAGAGAGAGAGAGAAAGAGAGAGAGAGGGAGAGGGAGAGGGAGAGGGAGAGGGAGAGGGAGAGGGAGAGGGAGAGGCTGGCCATGAGCACTGGGAAATGGAAAGAGAGGGGGAAGGGGGAGGGGATGGGGAGGGAGCAGGAAGGCAAGAACAAGAGAGTGAGGAGGGGGCAAGCATCCCCTTTTATAGTGAGTCAGGCATACCTGGCTGTTGCCAGGTAGCTGTGGGACAGAACTTAGACAAAACGCTAACGACCACAATACTTAACCTGCACCCCTAGACTCTCACTAGGCTCTCTTCTCTGACCCCCTGCAACTGTGACAGTGAGAGTCCTTGCTCTTGAGCTCATAGTAAAGACCCTTGTGCATTTGCATCAGAATTGGCTCCTCCATGGTCTTTGGGGTACAGGCAACTTCGGCTTAACAGAATGTCTTTCATTCATTCTTGTATTGCTTGTCTTGGTTTTTGTTGTTTTTGTTTGG